CTGTATTTTGTTCCACTGACTACTTTCCTAGACTGTATTTTGCTCCACTGACTACTTTCCTAGACTGTATTTTGTTCAAATGACTACTTTCCTAGAGTGTATTCATGCCCTGATCTTCAGTACAGAAATATTTTTAGGGGACATATAAAATCAAAAATTTTTATTATCTAAAACACACAATTATTGAAAAATTAGATTTTTACGTTAAAAAATACTAATAAATTCGACAAGCATTCAACAAAAATATTTTGATTGCAATCATTAAAGAATTTTTTCTTTTGAAATCACTTATACTTCAATAATAAGAATAACTTTTTTAGTAAACTTTTCCCTCTACAACATAGCCTGTAAATTTTCAATTTTTTTTAATAAACTTTTCCCCTACAACATAGCCTGTAAATTTTTAACTTTTTTAATAAACTTTTCCTCTCTACAACAAAGCCTGTAAATTTTCAACTTTTTTAATAAACTTTTCCCCTACAACATAGCCTGTAAATTTTCAACTTGTTTAATAAAATTTTCCCCTACAACATAGCCTGTAAATTTTCAACTTGTTTAATAAAATTTTCCCCTACAACATAGCCTGTAAATTTTCAATTTTTTTAATAAACTTTTCCCCTACAACATAGCCTGTAAATTTTCAATTTTTTTAATAAACTTTTCCTCTCTACAACAAAGCCTGTAAATTTTCAACTCACATCCCAGAAAATTGGCAGGATTTGTTGTACACTGGGTTTTTAATACAAATAAAGAGGAAGTCGAGAACATTTTTCAAAAGATATTTTTTATCAAAATTGTGTATATGTTTTATTTTTGATACCAGTTTCAGTCCATTTATTATCTTGATGTTTTTTTTCGACGTATTCGTATATATTTGATAATTCTTGTTATCTGCTTATTTGTGCACTTTGATTGATGATTAGTTGACCGCCAGATGTCTCTGCTCTCGATGTTTCGACGATTAGTTGACCGCCAGATGTCTCTGCTCTCGATGTTTCGACGATTAGTTGACCGCCAGATGTCTCTGCTCTCGATGTTTCGACGATTAGTTGACCGCCAGATGTCTCTGCTCTCGATGTTTCGATGATTAGTTGACCGCCAGATGTCTCTGCTCTCGATGTTTCTGAATGGTTCCACTTGGGAAAGACTTCTGGCGGACAATTATAGGTTGTATTATCTAAATGATTTGCTTTGATTTTAATTTTGTGATTTTGTATGGACGCTATCTTCTTCGGTATGAGTTATGTTTAACCATTTTTCCTTATAGATGAAACAGATAGAAGTAAGATTAGTAGCCACCCTTGAATACTCAAAGTTATAGAGACATTCGGTTGCTTTTATTTGAAATCATTCGCGTTTTGGTTTATAATTAAACAATCTTTAAACTTACTGATTTTTTTGTTTTATACTTTTCATTTAAAAAGTCTATGCTGGCAAAAAAAAGTATTTTAGAAAAAAAGGCTAAAAAAATTGGTTTGATAAGAAAAATTGTGATCGACCATGTTTTCGGCGTGAGCCTATATCTAGGAATGGATCGTTCCCATTTTTTTAAACCATGGTTTTGTTAGCAAACTATAAAGAAAAAATGAAAATCAACGCAATCATTTTTAAACACGATCATTTGTTTTTAAATGTAGTTTTTTGATAAAATTCGTTTTCAAAAACTATAGTTTTTTGTTTTTTAAAAACGGTCGATTTTTAAAACGATAGTTTTTAATCCCTTTGACCCTTCGTTAACGATCATTAACGAACTATAAAAAAGAAAATATATTTTATGGTCGGAAAAACCGAGGTCAGAAAACATTTAGGTAATTTTTTGACAATATTCTTTATCTTATCTTTCTGAAAATAATTGTAATAAATTCTCATAAAACTCAAAAAAATACGAACGTTTTTTAAACACAATCTTTTTCAAATAAAATAGTTTTTTGTTTTTTGAAAGTTTTTTTCGATCGTTTTTTAAAACAATTAACAACCCTACCAATACCCCCTTTGATTTTTAGCCAACACCCCCTCAAAATTCACATGCAATTTGCTATAAATATGCAAGGTTTTTTCTTTGTTCGTTAGATCGTATATTAAGGGAAGAAGGAAGGAGGCCATCGCCCTCCTCCTCCTCCACTCTTTTGAAAAACTACTTTGATAAACGATATTAGACAAACTTAGCTTAAAACTAAAACAGTTTTAATAAGTTGCTATCTAAAAATAGAAGTTTTTTAGTTTTTTCAAATCTTAAATTCGAAATGAATATATATATATATATACACATTGAATTCTATATTTTCAATAAGTAGACTGTATTTTGTTCCACTGACTACTTTCCTAGACTGTATTTTGTTCAAATCATCAGTACTTTCAACAGCTTTTAAATGGTAATACACATTTAAAAAAGGGAAAATTAATATGTTTGAATGCCTAGGGGGGGAGAAATGATTTTTTAAATATAAAACCCTGTGTTTTGGTAAAATAAATCACTCTCGTCGGGCAGACATATAGACATATACATAGAATACTAACTTCAAAGCCTAAAATGGTAAAATGCTGTTTTGAATAGTTGCGACTTTGCTCCACGGCTGGTTCAAATAAAAAGGGAAATGAGGCTTGAATTTAGAAATAATGTCAAACCATTTAAATATTAATAAAAAAGCGTTCCAATCCCAGTTCCATATATCTAGCTATTTCCCCATTAATGCCCTGTTCATAATATTACCCTTTTAACCATTTTTTGGGTAACAATGAGAAACATTAATCGTCCTTTTTCTATCTTCAAGATTTTTTAATTTTGATTTTCTTCTTTTTTTCCTGTACATGAATTTTAAAGTCATTTTGAAAAAAAAGTTTGAAATATTTTATATTGAAAAATAAATTTTTCTAAATGTTCTTAGATAAAGGCAAGGAGTATGGAATAGAAGGGAGATACAATTGACGCAGCCAGCCCTACCATATGATTATACATGCTTTGCAGACGGTACTCCATTTGTATAAGAAATATTTGTCTGATGTACAATTACTGCGTATACAATAACCTATTCATAATATTTCTTATACATAAGGGTGTAAAGCATGTATAATCATATGATAGGGCGGGCCACGTCAGTTGTATCTCCCTTCTCTTGATTACTCCTTGTATAAAGGACATCGTGTTGTAAATATCAATGTCTTTTTCAAATCTAGTATGGAAGGTCTCATGTAATTGTGTTTACTGTCTTGAACGTAAGATTGACCGAGGCTAGATTTTTTTGTGGGCTAATATAATTTAACCCAACGCGCGCATACAATATATGTAAATGCCATGCTTAGTTATATGTTTAGTGTATACACGTAACTATGTTTATGCATATGTATTATACATACTCATCCATACATATTAAATATACATACAAAACACATTCATAAACATACAATAGCAACCAAGGGAAATAATTTAGAATTTCGGCATGTCTTCCCCCCCCCCATTCCTCTTATTCATACATATATTTATACAGGGAATCCTTACATCACAGAAATTAGAAGATATTTAAGCTTGAAATATTCATTAATATTAAAGGGTTTATGGGCCATTAGGTTTAGATTCTTTTGAGCCATTTAGGCAGAATTTCTACAATTTGATATTAGATAATTTTTATTTTTCGAAATTATTCTTCCAGAGTCTAAAACTAAAGAATGCGCGAATTTTAAGTTCGAGGTTAAAAGTTCTGTAAAATAATGAATAGCTACTTAAATATTTAACTTTCTCAATTTTCAATTTGAATTTCCCGGGAAAAATCTGAACCAATCAGAGAAAAGGATTTAAGGAACTATTACGTAAGTATCAGTATTCGGTAATCAGCTGTTTTTAAAATTTTAAGTTATTTACGTGACCGAAAACAAAACATATTTCCAGTTACAACCGTATTTTGGGTTTACGTGCAAACATTAATTAATCTTAAACGCAAAATTTATTAAATCAAGGTTATTACTTTTAAATATATCGTAATTAGTTGAATGCCACTTACCGCTGAATGATGATAGACAAATAGGGATTGCGGGATTTCAAGATTTTAACCCTGTGTTTAAATTTTAACTCGTCGATTTCGGCGAGTTAGATATTTAATCTAACCTAAATATTAAACAGATAATTAAGTTTATTAAAGCTTTATGTAAATTAGAAAATATTATGAAGAAAAATTTGTAAAAACTTAAATACATTCATACATACATAGATTTTAAACTAGCACTACTAGAGCCATCTAGTGGCATCTAATGTAGTTTCATTCAAATAAAAGTATTTTCACACCTCACTACGTTCGGTGTGAAAATATTTACATCATTGGAGAGCTCTTATGCTCTATTTTAAGAATCAGCAAAAGAATTGTTTACTCTTGAGTTGCATCTGACTAAGCAAAAAAACAAATTCCTAATATTTTCTTGGGGATGGGGAGGGAGGTGGAGAGCAATCGTCTCAACCCCCTCCTCCCTCCCCGGTGGGGAGGGGGGACATCCTCCGGCCAAGCCACCATCTCTAATATCAAGAGTGTTCCTTCCAATTTTTCCTGTTCAATGTTCATTTTTTCTTTTTGCTCCTTGTTTCTTTTTTCTATCTGAATAGTTCTTTTGATATCAAGTTGTGGATCAGGAAGGAGAGGGATAAGGAGGTTTGTAGTAGGAAAGGTATAAGGGTTTGCTCCCTGTTGTCCTTTTGTGTTATAGTCTTTCTGGCTTAAGGGGAGTTTTAAGGAAGCTCACAACTGCACTCCTTATGCAAAATGGGGAGTTGTAAGCCTTGAAGCCCGATTGAGAGGAATCTTCCACAGCAGTCCATTCATCACAGCTGGATGAGTAAAAAACCAGTATCATTGTGTATTGCTTGTATCCTCATCAGGGGTTAAACTCCTTCTTACAGCTGAACCAGGCTGAAGATAAAGTCCTGTTTTATTCTATGTACATTCCTTACTCCCCTGTAGGATACAAGATGTGCAACTAAACGCAGCACTCCCCCAAACTGTCAAGTTGGAACTGCTACAAGAGAGGTCCGTTCTCTTCTGAGGGCAGTAAGCAACTGGCACATAAACTATAATTTTACCATTTTACCATTAGCTAATCTATTTATTTTTTGACGTTAATTCTGTATACTTCATGTAACATGTTTGCCAATAACTCATTAAAGCAAGAAATTTCCAACTGATTATTTACCCCCCCCCCCTACATTTTTGGGGTTAATTTAATTCCTTTATTAGAATTTCTGTGATCAAATTGACACAATAGATTGCGTAACAAACAACTAAGGATAGGAAAAAACACAGTCATGGTATAATAGTGTGATACAGTTTGTTTTTTAATTTGATCGCTGCAGTTGAACGCTTGGCTGGACAAAGTGAACTATATAAGACATTTTTTTTGTTTGAAGAACCGGGAACTCCTTATACCAACGGAATCTAATACGTTAATTTAGCCAAATCCTTTATTTAAAAAGTAGTAATCTCTAGGTACCTTTTAGGGTGTTTTGTATGTCCAATCATAACTCATGAACCCCTTGACCAATTTTCTTGGTTGTTCTTGGCTTGGTTTAGTGGGTTGACGCTTTTAAAGAAATATTAATTTCCAGACAAAGCTGGGTTCCTATAAGCTAGTGGACATATACTATATAGAAAAGGATTTGAAGGGAATGCTTTTGAAATATAAGTGATCTCAATTTGAAGAGAATGCAGTTTTAATATAAGTGATCTCAATTTGAGGGGAATGTAGTTTTAATATAAGTTATCTTAATTTGAAGAGAATGCAGTTTTAATATAAGTGATCTCAATTTGAAGAGAATGCAGTTTTAATATAAGTGATCTCAATTTGAGGGGAATGTAGTTTTAATATTAGTGATCTTAATTTGAGGGGAATGTAGTTTTAATATTAGTGATCTTAATTTGAGGGGAATGCAGTTTTAATATAAGTGATCTCAATTTTTTGGGGAATGTAGTTTTAATATTAGTGATCTTAATTTGAGGGGAATGTAGTTTTAATATAAGTGATCTTAATTTGAAGAGAATGCAGTTTTAATATAAGTGATCTAAATTTGAAGAGAATTCAGTTTTAATATAAGTGATCTCAATTTGAAGAGAATGCAGTTTTAATATACTAGTGATCTTAATTTGAAGGGAATGCAGTTTTAATGTAAGTGATCTCAATTTGAAGGGAATGCAGTTTTGATATAAGTGATCTCAATTTGAAGGGAATGCAGTTTTAATATAAGTGATCTCAATTTGAAGGGATTGCAGTTTTAATATAAGAATTTGAAGGATTCATGTAGTTTTAATATAAGTGATCTCAATTTGGAGGGACTGTAGTTTTAATAAAAGTGATTTCAATTTGAAGGGAATGCAGTTTTAATATTAGTGATCTTAATTTAAGGAGAATGCAGTTTTAATACAAGTGATCTCAATTTGAGGGGAATGTAGTTTTAATATAAGTGATCTCAATTTGAGGGGAATGTAGTTTTAATATTAGTGATCTTAATTTGAGGGGAATGTAGTTTTAATATAAGTGATCTAAATTTGAAGAGAATTCAGTTTTAATAAAAGTGATCTCAATTTGAAGGGAATGCAGTTTTAATAAAAGTGATCTCAATTTGAAGGGAATGCAGTTTTAATATAAGTAATATCAATTTGAAGGGATTGCAGTTTTAATATAAGTGATCTCAATTTGAAGTCGAGGTGTTTACAGTAAATATTTGTTTAGAAAGAGTGCAAATTCAATTTTCAAAATCCTCTTTTATTTTCCATTCAGAGCTGAAAACTTTAGAATGAAATATCCAATTGTCAGATAATGTTGCTTCTCTGGAGTTTAAATTCATGTGGAGAACAAGCAATATTTAAACTGGATATTAAGAAAAAGAGTGGTTTAAGCCTTAATCCTGATATCCACCATTCTAAAGTTTTCAGCTCTGAGCTGAAAACTTTAGAGTGGGATATCCTTAATCCTGATCGGATAATTAATCTGAAGATTAAAAATGAGTGGAGAACAAGCAATATTTAATCTGGAGATTAAGAAAAAGAGTGGATTTAAGCCTTAATCCTGATATCCACCATTCTAAAGTTTTCAGCTCTGAAGAGATAATTTTGAGAAACGGTTTTTTAAAAATTATTCAATTACAACGACAAAAAATATAAAAATTATTGTAAGGCTTTATAATTTGATATTTAGGAACATATTTCTCAATAGGAATTTGTCAATATATCAATGTTAGAATCAATTATTTCCTTTTCATCATTCAATTGAATTTCGTATTCTTTACAAATTATTTCGCAGATTTCTTTAGATTCTTTAAATGTCGTCTTTTCTATCAAAATTGCAGGAAATCTACAGAAAATGTGTGTGACTGTGAACAATTGATTATTTCAATTATGGATTCTCTATGAAATTACTAGATGATCACTGTAATTTTGAAAGCAAAAAGAAAGCAGACTACAGTTTGAAATACCAAGCCCTATCGTGTAGCTATTAATTCAAGAACTTGTTCAAAGATTAAAGACGACATTCAAGTTGTCTGTCAACCTTCATGTATTTCCTTTAAATTAAGGACGAGATTTCAGAGACGATTGTAGGGAATTAACATCTTATATTTAAACTTAAGTTTTTCTTTGCAAGCCAAGTCATTAAAAAATCCATTAAAATACTATACTTCAGGTATAGATGACTTAATTTTAACTTGGGATCGTCATATTTTAAGAGTTTCAGGTCGTCTTTACAGACCCATCCTTTGTGGGTACAGTTAAGTATTTTAGAGATAACTATGGAGGAAGGAATAAAAGAGGAATTTAATTATGACGAGGTGAGTACTGCTTCTATAGTTTCAGTAAAAGTAAATATTTCCATTTACTGATAGTGCCGATTTAAGGATTCATAGCTCTTATTGGATAATGCGATAGATAGATACTGCTACGGCCATACAATTTCTATTTGTTCAGAATAGGCAACAAACACATGACTGAACCCTGATTGGATAAAAATAAATATTTTAACCCTATCTCCGCTGGGGTACTTGAAAACCAGGATACGCTGGGGGGGGGTCAATTTGACCCCCCCCCCTCTAAATCCCATGTTTTATGTCCAAATATGACAAATGATACATCATTAGAAAGCTCTTGTGCTCTACTTTTAGAATCTGCAAAAAAATTTGCAAATTTGCGAAAATTGAATTTTTTATCGCAAAATCCAGTTTTATAGTAAAAATGTTTGCAAAAAAAAATTTGTCCAAAAAATGACAAATTATACATTTTTGAAAAGCCCTTGACCATGCCATTTTAAATATGCAAAAAGTTTTGCAAAATTTTAAATAACCTGATTTTTAATCAAGAAAAACTAAAAATGTGCAAATTTCCTTTGACAGGTTGTTTGCAAAAAATTTGCAATTTTTTTTTCGCAAAACTTGTGCAATCCGTTTCCTTATGTCATAGGCTTTCCAAAAAGCTAAATTTTATCAAAATCTGACAAGTGAAAGTGGGTCAAAACAAAGATTTAGTTTGCTACAGGCAAAAGCAGTCATTCAGGCAGTGTGCCTGAGGACTCAGGCAGTTAGTATTAAAGCCCGGTTTTAGGCCTAAAGGGAGGGCTTTGGGTATGTAAGAAAAGTCAGAAAATTTCAACAGCCTCAGACCAATACTTTTTGAGTTATGTAAAAAAAACTACAGGGGGGGGGTCAAATTGACCCCCCCCCCCAGCGGGAATAGGGTTAAAGGAAGACGAAAGTTTAATCTAAGCTATCCTCCAAACAATGCACGGTTCATAATATTACACTTTAAAGCTTTTTAGGATCAAGGATGAATTAGATATCAATGTTTATAAAATTGAAAAATGTCTATTTCCTATTGGGGTTCTCTACTAAAGTGACTTGCACATTTCTACTTTAGAAAAACAAATTGGAAATATCCAAAATAAACACTTTTAAACTTCGGGAAAGGACTATATCTTCCACATTATTGATCAGATCAAGGTTTCAAGCGTACCAAGCGTTGTAATTCTGGCATTGCATCTGTGCATGGAGATTCACGTGTAATAACGCTTTGCAATCTCTTTAAGTGCACATCTATCTGGAGCGGGATCCACACAACTTGGAATAAAAAGAGAATATTCAAGCAATGTGAATTTGATGTTGCTAAAAACAACAAGGTTTACCATAGCTTAAAAATAAACTAATCAAGGAATCTGTGTACACTGCGAAATCGATGTAATTCATGTTCATTGGACAAATTATGATCACAACTTTTTTGATTTCTACACTATAAACTATTATTTAATGATAAATCAAACTTTCTCATCAAGCTATTCCTTTGTCCCGCACCTCTGCACCTTTATTAAAAGTAAATTGAACCTATATGGAGCATAAAGTATGACTGCGTCAACCTTGTTGCACCTGCTAGTCCTGTCCATAGAGCTAGGTACAGTACAAACAGGGGCCATAAAGGTTGACCCGGCCCGGAAATTCAAATGTACTACGGCTGCCTATGTTATGGGTAGCCTGGAATTTAAATCAATGATATTACATTTCTGTAATGATTCAAGATTTCCTTTTCATCACTTGTATTTTGAATAAATAACTAAACTATTAGGTCCTGGCATACATTGGACAATTTGGGAAATTCCAAAAGAAAATATTCATCTGGCTGTGGTTGGTTTCTGGAGTTACAGGCCTGTCTGTTGTAACCTTTGGATTCACAGGTGGGTTAAAGTCAACCTTACTGGAAATATCTGATTCACAACGGTACCCTTGAAACCGGTTCATTTGAAGTACCGGTCTGATTCTTAGAAGTTACTACGCCATGGATTTTTTGTACCGGTCTGATTATAGAAAATGGTACATGTCTTGGATCTTGTACCTGGCCGGATTTCATTTATGTACATTGAGGGCCGGTCACTTGAAATTACACCTACAGTCCATTTAAACGTTAACTTTTTAGTAATGGCGGTGCCCATCAGTCTTTAGTTTCATTAAGTTTATTCGATATCGTAATGTGAAGCGCAAGAGTGTGTTAATGTTAATGCCTTCTTCATCATCCAGGTAAAAGTTCACGAACGAGAAAATCAAAATTCTCAATATAGTTGATTCAATCTTAATTCCATAGAGTAATAAAACGAAGAGGTGAAGCTTAGCTCAGATGTACACAACCGACATGTCTATTAATTAATTAATAGACAGGTCGGTTGTGTACATCACGATATGTTTACGTATCTAACGCTGCACACTTGTATATAGAGCGATCGTATTTCTAAAAGGGGATTTTATGGAATTGCCCAATTTTTAGATTTTCTTTCTTTATTTAAAGAGAATTCGAGGATGTTGACTGCAAACATTTGACAATTTTCAAATTTGTAGGTTTTCAATTTCTGTCAAAAATATTAAGTTTCTAGGGCATGAATTTAACTGAAAACATTCTTATTTCAAACATTTTTTATTGTTTCTTCTCTTCAACTCTTTATCATAAACATGCCAGTGTATGCAGGGTTACCCACAAAGATGAAACAACGATGACGACCTGGACCTCCTAACCCTAAACAGGCGGGGGGGGGGGGGGGCTCCCCATTCTAGTTTTTGACTTTTCATAAATAGAAATTTAAAGGATTTTTTGGTAATTTTTTTATGCCTAAGGTAGGGTGCAGGGCGATAAAAAACCAGAGTATGTAAAAAAATCTTAAATAGCACATAACTTTTTTATGACTAAAGCTACGATCTGAAAACTATAGTTTTGAAAAGCCCTTGAAAAATGGGTGTAGAAACGTAAGTCACACTTTGATATGTCTTAAACAAAAAATTATTTTTTACATTTTTTCGACCTAATCTATCTAATTATCAATACTAATATTCAAATATCTACATTAAACCACTCCTTAGAAATAGGATCGCTCTAGACAGCGTCAGATACGTAAACATATCGTGATGTACACAACCGACCTGTCTATTAATTAGTTAATAGACTGGTCGGTTGTGTACATCTGAGCTAAGCTTCACCTCTTCGTTTTAATACTCTATGCTTAATTCAATCTGATCTAAGACATAAATATTAGAAAAACTACACTATAACTTTTTTATTTATTTTCACATTTATGAATGATTATTTTATGCAATTCAAAAATGTTAAAATTCGTTAAATTTCTAAATTTTTAGTTTTGTGTGTTTTAGCATACACGCCTAACTATAGAGTAGCTACAGAATGTGATTTGATGAACAGCAGCTATAATTTCGATACAGATAGGTGAAAAATATATGTTTTGACATAAGGGTCTACAAAAAAACTGATTATTAATTTTTTAAAAGTAAAACGTATCAGGTATTCCCTGTTTGAAACTGCATTTACATTCCGAAGTATCTCTAAGGAATTTCAAAAGCGTTATACAGAACTGTTTTGAATTTGGATAATTTCGGGCTGTCTAATTCTATTCTCATCCTAGCTAAATATTGTTTTCCGTCTTGCAAAAGCAAAAATTAATTCGTTTTTTCTGAATTTATTTAGTTTTAGTGTTCCATTCTGGTTCAGAAACAAAAATGATAATATTTCTTTGGATTTAAGAAATCAGGATTGCAGGTAGGGTTTGGAAACCTTTCATATCACAGAACAGGGTACAAGTACAACTACAAATAAACCAAAATTTTGTCAAATTTTGCAAAAATTTTGAAAAAAAAACTTCATATACATTGTAAAAACTAATTTTACAAATCTTACAACAAAATTTTAAAACACCTTGTTTTGTTTAAGAATTTTATTTACAGGATACCCAGTGTTGAAAAGAATGATGAAGGAGAATGTGTAAATGTTTATTTTTCAAATGAGGTAAAATTATTTCTGGCAAAAATTGAGTTCAGATGTTTTGTAAAAAGCTAGCTTGGACATATGTTATAAAAGAGAAAATCACGGAAAGCCGTAGTACATTTGAATTTCCGAGCTGGGTCAACCTTTCCGGTCCCAGTTTGTACTGTATCACTCGGACATTGGGTATATGAAGCAGACACTCAATAGGACTAGCCTGTGCAAATGTTAATTTTCATATTCCGGAATTATGTAGATAAATCAGGAAAAGTCTGCCAAGGCTTAAAAGGCTACAGTTGTGAATTGTGGAGGCCCTCTGTTTAAATTGAAGCTCACTTGAAGTCTCTTTGAAGAAACAAAATCTTTGAACGTGGCAATAACTAATGTTGTAGACCTTTGATATTTTAAACTTTTAATTCTGCTAGAGCTTATAACCTTAGTTTGAAAGACTCAAATCCTTAGAGTACAATGAGCGTTTTCAGTGGAAAAAAACACTTCCAATTTTGTACCGAAAAATTAGTTATTAGGTATAAGAGTTTATTAAAATAAGTTAACAATCCAATATAACGCATATTTATGTTAGAGTATTGAGATAAACAGCAGTGACATAAATCAGCTGATATTTGATCGTACAATCATGCGCAGTACTCTGGTGGAGGAATACCAGTTCGTCTGTGATAGGTCAGTTGTGACGTCAAATATCATATTCAGCCAATCAGGATTATTGACTCTAGAACAGGTTTCTTAAGGAGGCTGGTATGCATAATTTCAAGTTACCTTCCATTCAAAGATGCCTTTTTTTAAGAGTCCGATATAAATCGGGCAGTTCCATCTTTGCATGGAGGGTCAGTTGATTTTTTAATATGTCGGTGTTCCTCCTTTTTTTAATTGTTTGTTCCGTTCCATTCCACGTTCCTGTGAAGGAACTATCGTTCCTGAGGAACAAATCACAACTCAATACATGTAGTACTGAAATTCACAGAATCGTGCAACAAATTTAAAAAATTACTCTGATATATAATTACTCTGATATATAATTACTCTGATATATAATGCGTATATTTATTTTTAGATCTTATATTCGTCCATACATCAGTGCACTGTTTATGCTAGGAATGCTTTTTGGATCTTTTTTATTTGGTTTTTTATCGGATACTTTTGGAAGGTACGTTAAAATGGTTCTCTAATAATCTACAAAACAAGGAATTAAATTCAATGGCAACCATTAATCTATGAAGTGGCCTGGCCAAGATTTTTGTAATTTATAATTGTTGTTTTTAAAAAAGTTAGAACGTTTATGTATCGAATCTCAGGATCAAGCTTTGAGCACCGTCTTTTTCAGATTTACGTAATAATTTAATTCCTATTCGATATTCCGTGGTGTTCTTACCCTGCAGGGAAACTTTAAATAAAGGGATTAAGCATTTATACTAAGCTCAAAAGTGTCCACATTGGACATTGAGATCAAGCGTTCAGAATTAATCATACTTTACACAAAATTCCAATCTCAGTGCACATTTTCATAAAGAAATCAGTTAAAAAAGTGAGACTCATAATACTATAGAATATATACAACGACGACCTTTAGACTAAAAATATGATTTGAAACTGCAGCAATGAACAAAAGACACGGAATAAGTTTATTTTCAAAGTTAGTAGTATAAATACTATTTCCTTTACAACAACTTCAAGTACAAATAAGATGGTTCCACTCCACGTATATTGGTATACAACTGTAATTGGTTCAGAATAAAGACCCTGATGTTGGCAATTCTGTGGCTTTCAATGGCTGGATTTTTGGGGTAAATATATATTCAAATATAAATTTATATTTTATCAGATATTTTCATTAAAATGTTTTTTTTTCTATGATTTAAAATGACTTGCAGATTTACTCGAAATAAAGTTTTCAAATTTAATGCATATCCAGATAGATAAATAATTTTAAACTCTTGAAATAGATGGTCAATTGAAATTACGTTCCTTTAAGAAAAGATTGCATCTATTTATTAAATATAATTAAATTAACAATGTCATGACTTTCAATAATTTAACAATAAAAATATCTAATTTTGTGCAAACTGTGTGCATTAAAGTGCATAGAATAATGCCTGTCAATATTGTGCATTATAATATTAATCCACTGATTATGCAGTTTGATAAATTAAAGGCCCACCAAAAAAAAACGTTTTTTTAAAATAACTTACAATTCTTTCCGTATGTTAATGAAATCATAAAAAATTCCATACATTATCGTTCAAAAGCCTCAAAGCTTTAAAAAAGGATCAAATATGGTGCAAAATACAGTGGGAAGCGTTTTATATCAATACATTGATGACAACTTTCTAATTAAAGGGAGTGACCGGCTATGTATGGTAGTTCAACTGAGCAGGAAGTGTTGTGGAAAACTTCTTTCGTATTCATTTGAGACATAATAAACTTTTTAAAGATCTGTGAATCCTGATTTTGAGCGCAAATTCGACGTTCAAAACTCCTACTTTGGAGGTGGATACGTTTTATTTAAAATTATCAGATAACGACGACATAAAATGTAAAAAAATTCTACAATAAACTGCGGACGTCATGTATAGAAACATGTTGAGAAAATAAAAATTCATTTTATCATCGAAAATAAGTAATCTCGTTCAATTATTAGTTTCTATTTTCTCATTATTCTGGTTTCTCATTATTCACAAAGATTTTCTGCAGATTTTTTAGAACTGTTATTGAAAAGACGACATTTAAAGAATTTGAAGAAATCTGCGAATAAATTCAAAGAAAATAAGAAATTCAATATAATAATGAAAACGAAATAATCGATTTTAGCATTGATTTATTGACAAATTTCTTTTGAGAAATATGTTCCTAACCATCTAATTAGATTACTGTATAATTTTTGTTTTATTTTGCGTTGTCGTTATTTAATAATTTAAAAAAAATAATTCTGAAAACGTATTCACCCAAAAATAGGTGTTTTGAACGTCGAATTTGAGACGTCAAACTCAGGATTTACAGAAGTTTTCCACAACACTCATACTCAGTTCAACTACCTTACATAGCCGGTCACTCCCTTTAAGCGTTTTTTTATTTTTAAACACGCCGTTCAACTTTTTATGTAAACAACTGTAAGAGCTGTTAATAAACAACTAACTACAGTGGTCAGTTTTATATCAATACAATGAAGATAACTTTTTACTGATATCGCTTTGATCCTTGAAACTTGTTTTCAAATTACAAGTTTACATGGAAACAAAGAGAAGATGTGAATTGGCAACTTTTCTTTGTTTCCATGTTTATTTGTCTAAAAGCTGTTTAAAAGCTTGGAAGAAATCAAATTGAAAAAGAAAGTCGTCTTTATAGTATTGACATATACAAAGACGACTTTATAAGTGTTCAACATTTGATTATAGTTCTTTCTGTATGGGGACTTCAGGGGTTATAGGTTTCGGAGTCCTTAGAGTTTTGACTGGTAAGTAGACATGGACATTTTTTGGTTACTTTTTGAACATTTTAGGGGACCAAATTCAATCAAATTGAACTGCATACCCATGGTTCAAATTTTAAACACCGATTCACATCCTTCCTTAATCTTAAACTTTGAATCAGTGGTTCAAATCTGAACTTGCAGTAGTTAATTCAGGGATGTAGCTCAAAATGTCTGAATTTTGTAATCATTTAAAACCTTGAAGAAAAATGACTTTTAGAAATTCCTTTTATCATGTAAATTTACCTAGGTATGGGATGTACTGGCTCATACATAGCTGCCTTCGTGCTTGGAATAGAACATGTAGGATATAAGGTAACTATAGAGATAGGTATGTTCAGCTCTTTTTCAATTTATTCTTTCCTTGTTCGTTACAAGTGACAAGAGGGCTGGGCATGTTCCAACTTTTTTCTCGACTTAGAACGCATTCTTGATAATATGAACGCGTTCCTAATTTTAAAAGTTCTTGTCAAAATTTTTTGTTCCGTTTCGGTCCCTTACAAATCGTTCTATGCATTCATTTTTCTTCCAAACGATGGGATCGTTCTTGATCGTTCCGTTTGTTCTTGTGAAAGAACGATCGTTCCCCAGGAACGAGGCCCAGCCCTAGTGACAACCCATTTCTTTCATATAAAGAAAAGTTTATTGAAATCAATCGTTTATTCAGAAAACAATAACTTTTTTAAAATATTTGTTTGTTCAGTAATTTTGGGCCCGTTTTTATGACATCCTTTTTTGTTTGTCATCAAGACAAAAGTTATATTAAACTTTTTTGAAAATTTGAAAAGTTAGACTATTTTAAAAGTGCAATTATTCCATGACAATTAAATTTAAAACCAATAACTTTCAAAATTTTTCTATTAAAGTTTACAATGCTGATGGGAATTGCCTTTGTAATCCCATTTGCTGTCGGTGAAGCTGTTTTTGGAATAGAAGCTTATTTGATCAGAGAGTGGCAGATACTTCAGATCGTTGCATACCTACCAATAGCATGTAAGAACAAAAATAACTAGCAATTTCATTTAAAGATGGAGTTTAATATTTTAAGTAACTTTTTAACTGTGAAAATTTGAAATATTAAAGATTTTTATGATTTTTTCTATGCTTATGTTCTTCCAGTCATTGCTGAATTTCTAATATTTCATAAAATTCAAATTGTAAATTAACAATTTAAACTAAAAGTTAAAAAAATTTAAAATTGATTTTACTTTTTAAAAGTTTCAGTGGTAGGCGTTTATAATAATACAACAAAGACGACTTTTCCATTCGAGATTCGATTTCTAACAAACAGTTTTTTTAGTGTCCTTGTTTATGTGTATCCATGCTGTTTAAAAGCTTAGTAGAAATCAAAGTTGTCTTTAATTTATTGATTGATACGATGACAGTCATGTGTACATTACAATTGTACTTTTAGTACTTCTAGCAGTTTACTGGTGTGTACCTGAATCGGTAAGATGGCTGGTAGCGCATAATAAGTTTGATCAGGCAAAATCAATCATCAGGTGAAAACAATTTTTTTTAGCATTATTTATAATTAATTTTAAGACATTTTACAAAACTTAATTTTGAAAGCCTAGGAGTCCTGTAACCCCCTTTTTAATACAAACAAGTCCTGAACGAGACTGTGAATGTAATTTCAAGGCACCCTGACATCCATGCTAAATTGACTATGCCTGATTTACAACTGTACCATTAAAACCTTCATCTGATTAAAAATGTGGAAGATACCCGGCCTTGTTGTTAAACTTGAAAATTTCTAATAATTCCTATAAACTTCAACATGAAAATCAAATTCATAATTGATCATACAAACTTTCAAGGCTACCATCGTAAATTGCTAAATCTTTGCAATCTTTAAAATCCCACCAACAGTCCCTTTAAGCATAAATGGTTGAAGTAAATTCTAATTTTTTTCAATTAAATTCTATTGTGTTAAATATTCTGTTAAAGGAGAGTTGCAAAGGAAAATGGAAGAGAATGCCCAGAGCATCTTTTAAAGGTTCAGTAAATTTCTTTTAAAATAATTACCCCAGATTTTATCTTTTTTATTATTTAATTTAGCACTTAACTCCAATGGATGATAAACCTATTTCTACAAAGACAACAAGGAAGACGACAATTCTAGATCTCTTTAGTACAAGACTGATCCTCACCAGAAGTCTTAATATGTTTTTTCAGGTAAAATAAGAAATGAAACAACTTCCATAACTAACAAATGGGGCTGGGTAAAGTCTTCTGCCACAAAACCTGACACTAGAAAGACAACTTATAGGGAATCTTTGAACTTTTAAATTACTTGCAGTAAACATTATGTCAACCTACTTGAAACAAGGTATAACAAATTTTGCAAAATTCAGGCACTTTAAAAATATTACAAAGGAATTAAGTTTTTGCAACAAACTCAAATTTTCTAACCCCTATAGCTTTGCAACCTGATGGTGTAAACCTTTGATATTTCAAACTAAGACTATTAGATCTAACAGAATTAATAGCTTGAAATATGAAAGGTCTAGGAGAATGGGTTGCCAAGTTATAGAAATTAGAAAGTCAGAGTTTGTTGCAAATACTCATTTCCTTTTACTAAAACTTTTGTTCAGATTTCAATTTACAAAATCTAACAAAGTTCTTCATATCTCGGGTAATATTGACAGCACAAAAATGTTCCACATTTTGGAAATGCCAAATGGGTTTATTTTAACATTATAAACTCTAAATTACACTTCCAAAATTAGGTTTACAAATAAATGCCACAAATTATTTACAAGATTAAAGACAAACTTCAAGTTGTATTACAACTAAGGATGTTAACATTTCATTTTTTTTAAACGATCGTTTCGTTATAAAATGATCGTTTTTTAAAGTTTGTTTTTAAAAATGGTCAATTGTCAATAAAAATTTCTTTTTCAAAAACGATCGTTTTTGTTAAAAACAAGTGTAAAAAAACGGACGCAAATCATTTTCATAAAATGAAAGTTTTCAAAAACGATCGTTTTTGAAAACTTTCACATTTGAAAAACGAAACAACCCTAAAATAATATTTTAATATTTGTTAGTGGTTTAGTGTTACAATGTGCTATTATGGACTAACATCAGCATCCACAACATCCTTTGCTGGAGATGTTTACGGAAACTTCTTGCTCAGGTCAAGTATAGCCATTTACTGATTACTGTAAGTAAGTTTGTTTTATAAAGGTAAAATGACCTTTTAATTATTTAACATGTTTTCTGATAAGATTAATTAAATTTTCCAAGTTAACTTAAATTTTTAATAAATAATTTTGTTTCATGAATTCTCATTATAATGGCAGTCAAGGGTTTTTCACTCATCCAGAAAAAAAACTGAAAATTCATATTTTATTTTTGGTTTTATAGATAAATCAATATTTTGGTGCCAAAAAAAATATTATTTAATGATTTTATTATTTGTCAATTTAGTGTTCTGATTGAAATCCCAAGTTACTTATTTTGTATATTTCTCATGGATATTTGGGGAAGAAGACCTATACTCTCATTCTGCCAGGTATATACAAGGAATAGATGGCTAGAGGTCAAATAGTTGTCTTTAGAAGTCAGATGGAGTTAAGGTAGAGGTCAGCTAGAGATCAGACATATTTAAGATAGAGTTGAGATAAATGTCAGAAAAAGGTCAAATTTAAGGTTAGAAAGATGTCAGGAAAAGTCAAGTTGGTTAAGCAAATATCTTCAGGGTGTCCTTTTAATTCTTACAATTTTTAAACAGCTATTTATCTGACATTTTTTGGATTTTTTACAATCTGTAAAGAGATTTAAGCAGCTGCTATATACAAATTTTGCAATATAACAAAATATCCGCAACATGCAGCAAACACAAATTCAGTATTTTAATGAAACGTTTCACACGCAGTTTCACCTTTCTTTAGTTAAGCGGGTTAATAGAAGCAAATCCAGTTATAAAGCAAAACTTTCATATTTTGATTACTTAATTTTTTTTACAGATTGGAAAATTCCAAACAATAAGAAAGTTACAGCAATTTAAAAATTGGCAGATAAACATCTAAGAATTAAGGTTTTTAATCATTATTCCCTAAGATTTTAGGATTCTTAAGATTTGCACCAAACTCAGAAATATTTTGCCATGTTATTTATGTTTTGTTTTGAAGTTATACCTGTGGTAATTTAAAAGATGTATTTAGTTGTAAATTTATTCTGGATAATTTTGTTTTAGATCATTTCTGGTGTATCTTGTATCATCATTGCATTCTTGGAAGGTTCAAATCTCCAAGGTGTAGAGGTATTAATTACAGTAGGTTTTAGTTGAGAGGGTACAAAAGTTGAAACACATATTTCATATTTCAGTTTCCTTGGATAATTTTTCTTTTTTGTAAAAAGAAAATGCATTTTTTAGTTGAAGATGACCATACACCCAACATAGCCTTGGCAAAAATTCGGTTTACTTTAGGGGTCGAGGGTAATTTTGAACAGGCTACATTTGTTCCTGAAAAAATAAGATTGATAGCTAAACTTACAGTCTCAAATGGATCACAAAGTTTTAGATTGAAAGTAATATTTTAGCGTGGTGGGCCATTGAGGCAATTTTTATAAGTTTAGGAAGCCTGCATCAATATCTTTGGATTACAAATTATAATTTAATTTTGCAAAAGACAACATTTGACATAATAAAAGTTTTGTTATTCACTGGTTTACTATGGTTATACCAGGGGGCGGGCATAAATCTCCTAATTTTGCCTGGCTAGGTTTATACTGTACAGTGAATTTTGTCGAAAAATGTTTCCTTATGACTGAGTTGGTATCATAGAGTACAGTGGGTTTAATCCTAAGTACATCTATTTGTACGGTATTGTGTGGACAGTTATTTTTAATATTTTTCAACAATGAGATATTGTAGTGTCAAAAATTGTGTAAACAACAATGTTTCGGGTTCAGAAGTTTTTCATAACATACGAAAATCTGACAAGTGGAAGTGGGTCAAAACAAAGATTTAGTTTGTTACAGGAAAAAGCAGTCATTCAGGCAGTGTGCCTGAGGACTCAGGCAGTTAGTATTAAAGCCCGGTTTTAGGCCTAAAGGGAGGGCTTTGGGTATGTAAGAAAAGTCAGAAAATTTCAACAGCCTCAGACCAATACTTTTTGAGTTATGTAAAAAAAACTACAGGGGGGGGGGTCAAATTGACCCCCCCCAGCGGGAATAGGGTTAATACGAAACCTTCTTATGCATTCAGATTTGAATCCAATATTATAATAATATGGAACAAAAATTTACATCACAGCTCAAATAACACAGCCCAGAAATTCACAATTAGGTGTTTTGCTACTATTGCTGGAATGATGGCTTTGCTGTTCCCAGAAACCCTGGGAGAACCATTACCAGAAACCATTGAGGATGCTGCTAGGTAGAAATAAAAAATTATTTTCAGACCTTTAGGTATTTTTCCTTCATTGAGTAAATTGCTTGTTAGGATAGAGTCAAATGTTTCTTCATCTTTCAGAGAGAAACTAATCATATTTTAATTTTTCAATTGTAGCTGTCACATAATTTAAAAACTACTAGACTACAAATGCATAAAAATCAATTTTCTTATGGTTATACATTATACAATAACAAGAGGTGTTTGTATACCTGCTCTTTCCTTTCTGCTTTAATCATTTGTGAACCCGTGGACCAACAAAAGAAATAAGTTATGTAAAATTTCTCACTTTTCCCAATTATGTCAATTATGGAGACGTCTTTGATAAATTTTCTTATTTAAACATGAACTGATGAAAGATATTGTTAGAATTGGTAAAAATACCTCTCGTGGTCTTTGCCAGTGTACCTGCATATCCCCTTTCTCTATGTACAAGGTAATAATTCTATTTTTTAATAATAATAAGAACCAGAATGCACCTTTTATGTAAAAACCATAGAGAATAGAATATATATTAGAGTGGAATTTAGACAATCTCTTGGTATGATTTTTTTCAGTCCCTTTCAGCCTGAAAGGGAGTTCAAAGTGTACAAATCATGTAAATGTTCACAAATTATATGCAGTAGAGTACATTAATACAGTATGCTCCCTAGACTATCCATTTCAATTTCTAATTTTTTAAAGATGTTAAATAAACTTTATAAAATGAATTAGGTGAATAAAAACATCATTTGATTTATAGTTATAACGAAAAATCATTGTTTGTAAAGTGAAAGGCATAGAGTCTATGTGAAATGATCATTGGTCAACTTCTCAATTATGAAACCAGCCTATTTCATATTAATTTGGTTTTCTTTTAATATTAATTTTAGATTTTATTTTCAAAACATTTAGTTGAAGAAAATTTTGGAATTGAAGATTCTGATTCCAAAATAATTTTCCCATTTGAAAATTTGTCATTTTATAAACGTTCAACTTTTGTGAAAAAAATTTCAGAAAAATGTTACGATATTGTGCGGTAGTTGGTTGTAAATCAAACAACAGTTTCAAAAACCTTACAGAGAATTGATTTACAGAAAATAAAATAAAATTCAAGAAAACTTTCTATAAAATGATGTTCCAGGGCCCAAAAGGTTATATAGCACAAATATGTGAAGTATACCTGCAGTATGGAAACAGTAGAACAAAATGGCCGTTTTACACTTTTTTCTAGTTAATTCCCCTCTAATATATATTCTATTTTCTTTGGTAAAAACACACCACTGTAAACTCTCACAATCTTCTGCCAATTTGGTTATTGGAAAATGGCGGTACAGTCCAAAGTAGGACTGTACAGGTTGGCCAAGCTCGGATATTCAAATGTCCAACACCGGTGAGGCGTGCTCTGGTTCAATTAAAGTACTGGACTATTATATATTATATCTTATTTTAGGAAGAGTTGAAAAATGTTGAGGTGTAGAGTTCATCTTATTGAATCTTTGCTCTCTAAGGAAGGATTAAGAAGTTATAAAAGAAATAAAGAACAGAACGATAGTTGGAGATTCGTCAAAATTAAAAACTTTTTACCTGTAATATGATGTTATAGAAATTTTTTTTTTAAATTCAGAATTTTATTTCAAAATATAAATTCTGCTAGATCTGTTACAATATAAGTCTTATTATGAAAAGTTTACACTATCAGGTGGCAAAGATACAGGGATTAGTAAAGAGTTTCGATAAGTTTACACACATATATCTCTGTACTCGACGAACACGCACATGCTTTAGGTGTATAGTTGTAAATCGAGGATTACTCTTTTTGCATGGAGGGTCACTTAAAATTACACTCACAGTCCCTTTATAAACTTTAAATCGCTGATGTACCAGGGGGGTCAGGTCCTGAGTTATGGCTGTATAAGATTTTACTTTGTTCACCCCAAACCTATCATGTCTCAAGCAATATTGTATATATATTATCATCACTATTTATTTTAGTCAAATTTTTCTGAGCGGATTATTTTTAAATAATTTAATTGTGAGCATGCGCACAGTCCACAGTTTGTTTTGAGCGCTTCAGGTGAAAGCACATGCGCATAGTTCAGTGAACAGTAAGGGAGGGGGAGCAAGGGGAAGGGCTGGAGGGGGAATAGAGGGGGGGGGGGTAAACAAAATAAACAATTAAAATGGGAGGGATCAGGGACTGTGTCATAACAATGGTTTAGTTTTGGTTTTATGCTTCATTTAATTTAATATGCATTGTGCTGTGTCATCAAAACAAAACAAAAGATTCAATTTTTTTTATTTTAATCTCAATTAGTTTGATGTGAATTTATGTTAAAATTAATTTGAATGTATGAAATAAATGTGACCCATATTTTGATGCTGCTAAATAAACATAATCAATAAAAAGTGTGATATATATATATATTAGTATATTCTCAATCTCGCGATCTTCCATCTTATTCGGGGCAAGTAGAAATTGTATTTTTATACATAGGCCTGGGCCCGAATTTAATGAATTGGAGTTCAACTCATCATGAATATTTAACTTCGAATGGGTAATTTAAACTGGCGTTTGGTAGTTAAGCGTCTAGCTCAAATTCATTAAAATTCGGTTCAGCTGATTATACTTTTGTACAGGGTTAACCCACGAACTATGAGACCTCGAAGAAGACTGAACATGTAAACACTGTACACTGTACGAAGGGGCGTATTTAGGAATTTGTCCAGAGGGGCTTAATTTTTTTTTTCTTTCCAGGGGGGCTCAGGCTCTCAGCACCCGTTAGTGCCTGAAAACCACCTGAAATCTATAGATTTCACGGGTCCAGGGGGGCTTAGCCCCCATAGCCCCCCCCCTGAATACGCCCCTGAATGTACGAAATTTACATGATTGATCTCTGTCTGTTTGTTCATAATTGATCTGTATCTGTTTGTTCATGATTCCTGCATTTGTAAACGTGTTCTTTTCTTAGCCAAATCAAAAACTATGCTCAAGGCAGAAGACTCTTTCATACCTCAAGATCGTCATATATTAAGAGTTTCAAGTCGTCTTTACAGTCTCATCCTTTGTGGATAACCCTGTATATAAACAACTAAGCATATATATTGTGTCATGCATGAGCTATCAACCAAAAAATGAGCTCGCTGCAAGTATTGTTAATAAAACACGTATTTCGAAAATAGAGTCTGGAACCTTAAATAGAGTCTGGAACATTAAATAGAGTATGAACAAATCTAGATTTGAATTTTAAATGAAGTATTTCAATAAATTATACAAATGTAATTGCAATGGTCATAATTTAGATTAAGGAAAAATCATTACTCTACCTTTAAACTTCCGGAGGGGGGG